TAACTATATGATGATGAGACAGAGAGAAGATAATACAGCGTGGAACTTGGGTGGATTCCTCTGCTCTATTTAATTTAAAGCGTAAAACTTTCAAATAAGCGTGAGATTGAATCATGCACACATAGAATCGCGAGTCTGTTACCGGAAATGCATGCTCAAACCACGTGCCTTTCCTATTTGCTAGTAAAATAATGTGTAAATTAAGTAGCATCATTAAATCCTCGCACCTACCTATATGTTCTGTTCTGTTTGTCTTGTTGTAGTTGTTTTCTTGGCCATATTGCAGTTGTTAATTATCATTCATTGACTTGTCCCAAATGAATTGAGATTGCGTCTCCAAGCCACACTTTTGAGCTACTTTTCATTGTTTAATATATAGTGAATACATGCTGTTCTCTCTACAACCTCTACTATCTAGTATGTTTGCTTAAAAAAAACATTAAATATTTACATTTTTACTGGGGCTGATAAGCTGGCCAAATAATATAAAAAAAATTATGAGATAGGTAAAATAAAATAAAAGAGATAATTACAAATATTAACTAGTATATCCTTAGGGCATTGATGTAAATTATAATTAAAGAATTTAAAATAATTTTTTATTCAAAACTATTTTTAAAATAAGTTTATCATGATTTTTAATACATTTTAAGTGTAATTTTTAATAAAAAAATATTATAAATTCTTTAATCAATAATAATGATAATAATTTTATTTTTCCAAAATCATATTTGGCTCTATGTCCACTCAACAAAAACTTTTCTCTAGTCTATTTTGTTCCACAAACTAGTTATAAAAACACTATTTTAAACACGAGAGATAATATCTAAAGAATAAATTTGTTTTAAAGATATTAATCAAACTTTTGATGACTGAAAAAAACCTAATTCCCATGACATGAGTTGTATATATAAATATAAAGATTAGTGATCAAATTACATAGGTATTAATACTCACACTTGCTTTTACACAATTTAATATTTTTATTAAATAATTAAATCATAAAAATAATTATTAAAAATTAGAAATTTTAATCATATATATATATATATATATATATATATATAATTGAGAGTAAAATAAAATCTTAATTTCAAATATTTATAAATTAGATTTGATTCATGATAAAACTGTATCAAGTAGGGAATTTAAGGATTAAAAGGTCACATGTAAAGATACACGAAATAATTTACTCTAATTATATAATTGTATTTATTATCATGGTATATATAAATATAAACTATGGTTACAAGACATGGTTATCCAAAAACTATTTATTTTCCTAAATGGGTTGTAGTTTATATGAGCAAGAAGATGAATAGCTTATGTATATATTCTTGGAAGCAGTCTATGACATGGTTATCTCCTTTTTTATTTTAAAAAGAAAATTTCCTGTTCATTGTGTGTCGTTCATAGTCTTTTCAAATGTAAATATTATTTTTCAAAGTTTGTTTCCTGGTCGTAGCAAGGTGAACAAATCAATACAGGTCATCGCAAGTTGACATAAAACATTTCCAGAAGCAAGAAACATTTTGTGCCAGATCGTGTCTATAGTTAATTCATGATATTAATATTAATCGTGAATTGTATTAATCATTTCAAAAGCAAAATATTGCAGCATCTAAGCAGATTTTACTGACCACGTTGTTTGCTTCTTACTCATGTCTCCAATCTGATCCACAAATTATTTTCAAATTTGCATTGTCGAATAAGAGTTATATATGCGCCATTATAATCAAATGGATTGACACCTTATATTTCACTCACTACTTGCAAGGTAATAAACAAATAAATATATCAAGAACTGCAGATTCTTCTTTAATACTGAGATTAATATGTATCTACTTATAATGTTGAGAATATATCACAAGCCGCGTTAATGCATAAACAACTCTTTTATAAACAGTTTTATTATATGGTACATACGAACATATTTTATACAAAAGCCTTAAAGAATTGGGTTTTATTGGTTTAAGGTGATATAAGTTCGTTAAGAAAATAGAATTGTCTTGGACAGAAACTAAGGATGATATATTGATAATTTTCACTTTCTTTTAGCATATATATACATATATTTGGTACTACTCAGTAATTCTTTTTTAATAAATCCAATATTTGCAATCTTAAATGTTGGTCCAGTCTCCACTTTCAGAAATAAAATGTTGATATATTCATAGTTCGCAAATTGTACTATATATTCTCTACCAAAGAAAAAAAAGAAACAAACGAGATATTGTGTTGTGATCGTTATTTTTTAAACTTATTGCACTGGTTACTTATTTAAAGAGACAGAGAAAAAAAAAACAGTACAAGACACTCGCGCCTGAGAAAATCTGGGCCTTGGTTTGGCTCATAATTTATCGTTAAATTAAAAAGATTAAATAATACCAATAAGTTTATGTAAAATAGTGAATCGTTAATTAAAATAGTATAAATTAAATTTTTTAAAAGATTTTGAATTGGAATTTTAAGTGTGTGTATATATATAACTTGTTAATAAACTTAATTTATCTATGCTATAGATATTTTTAATTTAAACAGAACGGACGATATCTGTAGCTCTACACAAAATAACAAGTTTTGTAAAATAGTTTATTTGAATGAATAAAAATAATTTATGATATTATATTTGTTTTTACATAATTTTTAATTTACACTTATTTTTTGTATCTGTCATTAATTGTTTTTGTTATATCATATAGAGCAGGAAAAGTAATTAATTTCTTTATTTTTATTATATTTTTATAATACCTTAATATATCTTTTGTCTCTTTTATTTATTATTTTGATATTTATGCATCATTATTTTTTTTGAGAAGAGAATAATTATGAAATTAATATTTAATGCCATCTTTACATTTTAAAACTAATGCCAAACAAGAGTAATTTTTTCATAAAAAACAACAGATGGAAAAAGAAACATTATTTCTTTCTCTAATCTTAAGTAATTATTAAGCATTTGTATTGTACTAAAAGATTATGATCACTAAAGAACTTTTCTCTTATTAAATAGCACGTGGCTCTTTAAATCCAAAAGGCATTTTAATTAGTTAATGCTTTGGAATAAGCTATGAAGCAGATCCTTGATATCAATAAGGAAATAGAAATGTATATGTATGAGCTTCAACTAATGATCTGCTTATGATTAATTAATATGGACATTAATTGAGTAGATTTTTTTTATTTTGATGGACCCTCAAAACTTTTTGGCTAGTGGTACTTAAGGTAGACGATGCCTTTCAAAGTTAAGTTGTTATCACATGCCCTGACAAAGTTCATTCACTTCTTTCACCTTTTTATTTCTTTGAAATTATTGTTTTTTAACAAAGGTAAAGTGAAAGTAGGGAATTTTCATCTTTCAGCAACAAAAGTGGAAAAATGAAAAAACCCTAAAATTGAAAACTAGAAGAGCCAAGTGTCTTTGAGTGGTTAAAGTTCTTTTAAGTTCTAAACTTGACATTGATTAAATCATTGACTTGGATTTCAGTGGCAACTCGCCTCTGTGTTCCTTAATGTATTCATTTCTTACTTTATACACCAATAAATATAATAAAATAGTGAAGAATATATCTTTAGTAAAATCATTGATATATCTTACTTTCTGAATTCATTGGGGGGGGGGGGGATAATATAACTATATATTTTTATGATATCATCCCATCATGAATTATCATTACAATAAATATCAATTATTTTTATTAAAATTATAATAAAAATATATATATAACGATTCAAATGTTTAGTTTAAGATACCCCTAACAGCATTGAAAAGTATTAATAAATGATTTTATCATTAAAAAAAATGCTGAAAAGAACATTAAAAGTTACTAAAAGCTATAATATTACATTTTAAAAATAATTTAAATTTAAAATTTGAAACTAACATTCTAAAAATATTGATTAACATTTTTTAATTTTATTAACCTACTCCAAAACGAAGTTTTCATAAGGAGCAAGAAAGTGGAAGAGGGCACAGTATTATTGATATTTAGAATTTATCAGTAGCACCACTTAATGTGGGGAATGTGGGAATGCAATGAAAAAGAAAGAAAAATAGAGAGAGAATAGGGTGTAAGGTGGGTCGCACGTTAATTCATTATGAAAGCGGTTGTCACACTCACTTTCACGATTCACACACAACGCCAAAGGCAAAAAGTGCACACTCACAGGTAATCACATTCTTCACTCTCTCTCTCTTCACACACATAATATCTGTATAGTTCACAACCAATTCCATGCCCATTCCGAAAGCATGCTCATAAAGTAAATTACAAATATTCTGATTTAAAACCACAATATATAATAATATGATAGAAATAATGCTTAATTCACCACAAAAAACCGTGACAAATAATTAACACAGCGGAGTCAAGAAATTTCATTAAAATCATGACATAATTTGTTGCACTTACAAACTGTTGCAAAATAAAGCGTCACAGTGAAAATTCTTCTCTAAATGAACTAGCGTGAGTACCACAGTGAAGCATAGTAGAAGAGAAAATACTTTTCGTTCAAAACCCTCAATATTAAAATATTATGTCAAATTGCATCTAATTCAAATTAAGTTAAATAGTTTATTTAAGAGACTAAAAAATTTTTGTCTAATTTTTGTATTTATAAAATTTAAATCTAAAATCTGATGTATAAAAATAAATTCGTCACTACTTAAATTAAGAATAAAATATGAGTAACTAGTTCAGCTTTTAGATTGGTCTTTAATTTATGGCAACAGTTAGTCATTATTTTTAGTTCAGTGCTATTGCATGATCCATCATTTCACTTAATAATATAACGTTTTGTTGTTATTTGTTATGTTATTGCTAGGAAGTACTTTGAAAATAATAAAAAATTTTTTTTTATTAAAATATTGTTAATGTACTTTTATTATAATGATTAATAAAAACTATTTATTTATTAAAAATTTGAGACCATATTTTATTTGATGGTTAAGTGAAAGGTACATAGTTGGTGGTAGGTACTCTAAACAAGTGGAAGGCTTTACTTACAGGGAGGAAGCAAGAAACTTGACAACCTCGTCGTTTTGCTTCTTCTGCTGCTGCTCTGTTCGCTGTGGGCTTTTGTTACTGTCTTTCACTCTGTTCGAGATTTGTCATAACAATAACAACAAACACCATATTAATATTAATATACCCAAAAACATTAAACTTTTCTTTTTTGCAGAAGCTTGCATTCTGCTAAGTTTCCCGCTTCTTCGATTGTATGAAACCTTCACTTCTCTGTCTCACAATTATGCTTCCCGCTTTTACATTTTCATAACTCTATTTTTTTAATTATTTTTTCTTTAATCTGAAGCAGATTGCCTTATTCTCTTTCTCGTTTTGAGGGAAAGTTGAATAACAGATGAATAGCAGAGCACGCACCACTCTTCACTCAATGAAACCTCCTTTAAATGATGCCAAAGTAACTTCTTCTGCTTCTTCTTCCACATTCTCTCTCTCTCTCTCTCTCTTTTTTTTTTTTAAATTTCAAAACTGAATATTTTATATTTTTTCTTTGTTTTTTTTTCCCTCTATCTCTATTTGATTGCATTGTTAGTTTCTCAGGAGACGAGCCTGTGAGGCTCAAAAAACTGTTTCTGAATTCTGAAAAATAAAATAAAATAATAAAGCTTGATTTCAAAGAATGGAATTTTTCTTCCCATTTGGGAGTTAAGTGAGAAAAGGTGTTTGCTTTTGATCCAAATCTAAAATGGGTTCTTTAACTTCTCTTAAGAAACGAATAATTTAATTAATTTTTATATCCCACTTTATGGTGAAGAAGGAAAATCAAGTTTTTATGTTAATGATAAGTTTATTGGTGAATGTGGAAAGCAGAGGAAGATGGAAACTGGAGGGAGCAGAACAATGGGTGGCCACAAAAATGGGCGTCGATCCAATCGAGAAAGGAAAATGGCTTTGATTCAAGATGTATTTCAATCTTCCTCAAACCACAACACATTTTGTTCATTTTCATTTTCATTTCGTTCTTTTTCTAAGTTTTTCATTCGTTCTATAAAATCACTAGTGATTCATGTTTGGTGCAAATGCAGGTAGATAAGTTGAAGAGAAAGCTCAGACATGAAGAGAATGTTCACAGGGCTTTAGAAAGAGCATTCACAAGACCCTTGGGATCTCTACCTCGTCTTCCTCCTTATCTTCCTCCATATGTCAGTGTCTTCCTCTCTTCTGTGTTGCAGCTTCAGGCAATGAGTTAGTTCATTGTGTCTGAGAAATAGTATTATTGCTGTTTTTTTTGTTTTTGTTTTTTTTTTTTGTTTAGCGTGGACTTTAAGGCCACCCAATAAAAAAATTACAGATAAATCATTCTTTAATTATAATATTAGTATTCAATTTTTGTGTTTTTTATTTTTTGGATAGAAGGAGAATAATGAGGAATGTGTGTACTTGTTTTAGACATTGGAGCTTTTAGCTGAAGTGGCAGTGTTGGAGGAGGAGGTGGTTAGGCTTGAAGAACAGGTTGTGAATTTTCGGCAAGGTTTATATCAGGAAGCTGTGTACATTTCCTCCAAGAGGAATGCAGAGAATTTGAATGACCCTAATGACCAAAATGCAATCAGAAGCTCCAAGCATCAGAGATCAAAATCTTTCTCTCAAAGTGAGTTCAATTCAGCTATTATGGGAAGGACTCAGCCTTCTCTTGCCAGAAGTGCTTCCAGCAGAAAGCTATTGTTCTCAGCTGATACTGTCGCTGATCACACCGCAAAGCTAGTCCAAGGGAAACAATTGCATTTGCACAGAAAACAAGATTCATGCTCATCTATTCCAGAAGATGGAAGGGGAAAAGAGAATAGATTATTTAGTAACTTTGTGAAGGATAAGCAATCACCAGAGAAGAAAACTACCAAAGTCATTACTTCAGTAAAGAAATCTCCACTCAAACAAGAATCACCTAACAAGTGCATGGATCACTTGAAGTTACAGGTAATTAGTTAGAGAGTAACCCCACAAACACAATTTTCAACAATACTAGTTTAATGCCTGTTTGGAATTGCTTATTTCTGAGAAATAGCCGGTTTTTTTCCTCACAAGCCGTTTTTGCTTGTCTAGTTGGACTGGAGATTAGTAGATCATGAAAGGGCTCAAAGTTCCTCAAGTTCATCTGATGAAAGAGTATCAGAATTTGATAGCACACCCAATAGAGTTTCAGAGGATATTGTCAAATGCTTGTGTAGCATAGTTGTGAGAATTGGTTCATCCAAGGACAAACTTGGGGAACCAAAAACGCCTTCCCGTTCTGCATCAGCTTTCAATCAATGCAACAAAGAAAAGGATCAGTTGTGCGATCCTTATGGTATCTGTTCAGAGTCCAAAACAAGAGAAATTGGTCCATACAATAATTTATTGGAAGTTAAAGCCTCCACAATTGATCTCAACCGAACAACAAATGCAGTAATTTTGATCCACAGACTAAAGTAAGTTATGAACAGTTAGTAACTATTTTGGTTTGATGATACTAAGTGTATAAATCTAATCTTGCACACATATTCAGGTTTCTACTTGGAAAAATGGCCTCTCTAAACTTGAAGGGTCTTACCCATCAGGAAAAACTTGCATTCTGGATTAACACTTACAATTCCTGCATGATGAATGTAAGACACCTTTTTGCCATTAGTTTACTACTCATTACAATTCTAGAATGAAAATTGGGTCTTTTAGTTCTATATTTGAAATGAATTTGATGTCTCCTTAGTTTGCTTAATATACAAAGAGTCAACACCTCATAAGATTTTGGTTTCAATATTGTAGGCATATTTAGAGCACGGCATACCTGAGAGTCCAGAAATGGTTGTAGCACTAATGCAGAAGGTACGATGATTTGTGCAATATTCTCAACATAATATATTGCTAAATTATTGTAATGCTAAAAGCCATTTCAACTTCAGTTCTGAGCTTCTTATACCTATTTCCAACAAACACTTATGTAATGTTCTATCTCTATCAAGATATATCTCTAGATAAACATGCAAGTTTACTGAGACATTGCAATGCATGTGTCAGGCAACAATAGTAGTGGGGGGCCAGCTGCTCAATGCAATTACGATAGAACATTTTATCTTGAGACTGCCTTATCACCTCAAGTTTGTAAGTACCATAATCTTTTACTTTGTTGAATTTAGCGTTTGGATATAATGAAGTTAAATTTTTCTCTTTTTTGTGTTTTATTTCAATGTTCTAAAATTATTAACAATTTTTTTGATGTGTTCAAGGATACATAGTTATTAAAAAAAGACAAAAATCATAAATTGTTATTAAAATTTATAGTATTCAATGTTATTAATATATATATTTAATTTCTAATAACAACTTATTATAACATCAATCCCTTAATTTTGATGTTGCGACAGACCTGTCCAAAAGCTGCAAAAAATGAAGAGGTGAAAGCTAGGAGCATATTCGGGCTGGAATGGTCTGAACCCTTAGTAACATTTGCACTTTCCTGTGGAAGCTGGTCTTCGCCTGCAGTATGTTTTTTAATCTTAATTTAGAAGATAATATTATTGTGTGGGCCCTGCTTGATTATTATTTTTCAGCTAATACCGTTTTAGGATATGTTAATGTTACCAATCGGTCTTGAAATGTATGACCGAACTAGACATGTCATGTGACGTGTTCCGCATCCGATTTTTCTTAAATTATTTTGGATTGAAAATCCATTCGTACAGCTTAACATTATGAGGGGCGTTAATTTGATCGTGAGAAATTTGAAATTAATTCCACACTGCTGGCAGAAACCAAGAATGCATGTGTAGTAGTTAAGCTGGGAGAGTCTAGAGAGCATCATAGTACGGCATTAAACAAATATTAGAAAGCTTTTGAGTTTCCACAATTTCATATTGTACTACTAGGATAAATAACAGTGTTGACTATTGTAATGTTATTGTGAATCACTTCTAGATTTTGGGCATAGATAAGTTTAGTTCGTATAAATGTTAATATTTTTAAAATAGTTTCTATAAAAAATTGTTAGTATTTATTCTCTAATAAAACTAGTTTTTTTTTGTCCCTTTAAAATATCAGAAACTAAATATGAACATAATTTTTAGAGGTTAATTTTAAAAGCAATATTATTGTAGGGATCAAAAACTCATTTAAATTAAATTTTATATGTAAGAACCTGCTAATCAATGAATTTTTAAAGAATTTTTAATTAGTTTATTAAATATTTATCATTACTTGTAAAAACAAGTATCAGATGTTTTATCAATTTTAGATGGAATAATCAATAAAATTTTCTTATTTTCATTTCCTTAACTAGTGTCACATAGCATTTGCCTTATATTTAACAGTTAGATCTAGAGATTTTCTTTTTCGTGGTATCTATATATTTCCTTTGATTGGTTGAATTGATGCAACAAATTTCCCTTTTTTTTTTTCCCTTTTGAAGGTGAGGGTGTATACTGCATCACAAGTTGATGAAGAGTTAGAAGCAGCAAAGAGAGATTATTTACAGGCTTCGGTTGGCATTACAAAAACAAACAAGTTAATAATCCCAAAGTTGCTGGACTGGTATTTACTGGACTTTGCAAAGGACTTGGATTCTTTATTGGATTGGGTGTGTCTCCAACTACCCGATGAAACAAGAAGCCAAGCAGTTGAATGCCTTGAAAGAAGGGGAAGAGAATCTCTCTCACATATTGTACAAATGATGCCCTATGATTTCAGTTTCAGGTTGCTTTTGCATCAGTAAGTTACTGAGAGGTGTTGTTTTATCACTCAAACCATCAGTCTCCTCAACTTTGGTGTGGTGGGTTTTTTGTACATTGGATAGTTCAACATAGAAAGTACATAAGCCAGAGCATGTAATGTTTTCAATTGGGAATGGGTTTTGGCACTTTTGAGTTTTTAATAGGGTCATTGCTGGTTAGTTATGCTTTTAGCAAATATACTAGGAATGGGGGTTTCTTGGACATTCACTTGAGTGCAAACATTTTGGGCTTATAATAATAATAATAATAATAATAATAATCATCATCATCTCATAAATTGCTTCCACCCCAGCCCAAGGCCCCAAGTGGCAATACAGCTAATTCATAGAGTAAAGCTCAACGTACCTTGGATCATGCTTAAGCTTCATTCTAAGCATTTTAAAAGGAGCCAGCGGCATGCCTTCTGCCCAGTGGATTTGAACTGACAAAGCACTCTGAAGACCTAAATGATCATTACTAGAATCCTAGAAACTTGAAACACAGTGGGAAGGTATAAATTCTAAATAGAGTAGTGGCGGCTATGTTCATAACTTGCTAATAATTCAATAGGGGTTTATAAAAAAGAAGTGTACATAAACAGGCACTTAAATGCACTAGCAGCCATTTACTCTGAGCTTGCTTCTATATAACAGTCAAATAGTAGGACTAGTATACTTCTAAGATTAAATAAATTGATATGATCTTACGTAACAAAAGAGTTCGATCCTTCGTTTAAACAATGAAAGGTTTTCATAATTTTCATTTCTCAACCAATGGAAAATTTTGATTTCAACTTGTGCGATGTTATTATTATTGACCTGGATCTACTCCTGAAGGCCTAAACTCCAACGGTTCTATAACCTAATTTTGGCTAGAAATCTCATTCGGAGCTTAACATAAAATCGTCACTTACACAGCCAACATTCCCTACGCCCTCAATATAGGGGATTATACTTTCTGGCCTAAAACTTCAAAATATTCAACATGTAATAATAGAAAGATAGGAATAAGATTAATTCTGTTATTAAGTCGTTAATATAACGTAAAAGCACAAACAAATCTAGTTTTGGCGCGAAAAGTGGTTGTATCATTGGAAGCCAGGATTATTAATAAGACTATTTTGTACAGAATTAAAGGTAATGAATGAGAATTCCATTATTAGTTCCTCTACAATTCTTGAGAAATTGTGAGTGAGAGGGTGCATTCAAGGTTTGGATGGAAACATTGGTATCAGTTAGCTTGTGACGTTTGGAACAATGGTGACCACAAAAGAACTTGAAACCTGTTTGGAGTCTTTTGAGACGACATTCACAGATGCAGACAAGGAACACATTGGATTCATTGCAGCAAGCGATTGAGAGTCTTGTTTCCTCCATAGCATCATTAAACAGTGGCAAGAAAATTGTGACAATTGAGGACGATATTGGACAAACACAAGATTCTGGTCAATCTGTAATTGGACGCGCATAAATTCAATTTCCTACATTCGATGGTACCAATTTTCGTGATTGGAGGGTAAAGGTTGAACAATTTTTTGAATTAGAGGGTACACCTGCTATTCAATGTGGATGATTGCTACTTCTATCCATGGATGGCAAAGCCTTTTCATGGCAACGACATTACCTGCAGCAACCTAGCTTTAGGGATAAATCTTGGGAACAAATTTTACATGATGTGGCATTACGGTTTGATGACAGTGCATTTGATGATCCTGTTGTAGAGTTATCCAGATTGAAACAAGGAGATTTGCTTGAATATTTGGAAGCTTTTGATTCCCTATTGGCACGTGTAGCTGTTTTAGAATCCATGGCATTAAGTTTTTTTTTGTCTGGGTTGAAAATTGAATTGGAAAAATCAGTACGGGTTCATAAACCACAGTCTTTGTCGGAGGCTGTGCATATTGCAAGACTTCAAGAAGAAATCCTCAAAGAAATGGAAAAGAAGATGTAGCAGAGACGGATTGGTAGTCTTGAAACACAATCACGGTACACAAGGTCTTGGTCTACACCTGTTGGTTCACAGAGGGGTCATTCATCACAAGTCTGCAACAACATCATTCTTCAACTTACAATTCTTCTCTAGCAACTGTAGATTCTAAGGTACACACTCCAACTTCTATCTCTCGGAAGGAAGTTAGTGAAAAGATTGTGTAGATTTTGTGGTGATAAATGGGATAAAAATCATAGGATGCAATGTAAGGTATGGGGTAAATTGAATGCAATTTTCACTGCTCAAGAGGAAATAGATGATGCTATCATGCAAGCTACTAATTGCGAGGAGGAACAAACATTAGTGGATAGTAGCATAGCCATGATTCAAGATAATGATGTGCATATTTCCCTCAATGCTCTTCAAGGCATAGTAGGTGGTAATACATTGCAACGTAAAGGTTTAGTCAAGAAGCAGTATGTACCTTTTCTGATGGATACAGGAAGTACTCATAATTTTATTAGTGACAAGTGGGTAAAATTGCTTAGGTTAAAAACACAGTTTGTCAAGGATTTTTCAGTAATGGTTGCTTCAGATAAAAAATTATTGATCACTAGGAAGTGTGAACAGATAACATGGAGGTTTGGTGTTCATACATTTGAAGCAGATTTTTTAGTATTACCGAGTAGCACATTTGGGGTCATCCTGGGCATGCAATGGTTCAGGACACTTGGAGAAATTTATTAGAATTGTGCTACTCTTACAATGCGTTTTGATCATCACGGCCAGAGGGTAGTATTACAAGGAGAGCAACCTTGTTCAAGGATTCAAGAATTGACAAGGAAATTAAAACTGGTACAGGGTACTTGCATGTTCTTGGCATTCCATGATTCAGTTTTTCTTAGTGTTACTAATGCAAGGGATCAAGAGGCATTAACAATAGAACAACAACAAGAGCTCACAACCATTCTGCAGCAATTCCAACAATTATTTGCAGAACCCACACAACTGCCACCTATGAGAAAATGTGATCATAAAATTCAGTTGATAAATGAGACACCAGTTTGTTCCAAACCTTATAGATACCCCCATGTTCAAAAAGAGGAAATTGAATGACAAGTACAGGGATTATTGGCTATTGGTTTTATAAGGGAAAGTGCTAGTTCTTATGCTTCTCCCTCGGTGTTGGTAAAAAAAAAAAGATGGTTCATGGAGATGTTGCACATATTTTAGAAAACTCAAATGCATTCACCATAAAAAATAAGTTCCCTATGCCACTAATAGAAGATTTGTTAGATGAATTACATGGGGCATGTTACTTTTCCAAACTGGATCTCAGAAGTGGGTATAACCAAATAAGAATGGCAGAGGAAGATATACATAAAACAGCCTTTAGAACACACAGTGGGCATTATAAGTGGGTTGTTTTGCCTTTTGGATTGTGTAATGCCCCAGCCACATTCCAATCACTCATGAATAATATCTTCAGAAACTATTTACGGAAGTTTATTTTAGTCTTCTTTGATGACATCCTTGTCTATACAAAGACTTGGAATGATCATTTAGAATGCTTGACAACCACGTTGCACATATTGGAGGAAAATGGCTTGGCTGTCAACTTTAATAAGTGTAGTTTTGGAAAAATAAAAATAGAGTATTTAGGTCATGTGATTTTTGTCCAAGGGGTGCAACCAGATAATGATAAGATTTCAGCAATTCAACAATGGCCAGCACCAATGACAGTGAAGTAGCTAAGAGGGTTTTTAGGGCTTTCCGGTTATTACCGTAGATTCATTTTGAATTATGGAAAGATTGCAGCTCCGCTAACAACCTTACTTCACAAAGAGAAAGAGTTCAAATGGAATGAAGACACTGCAGCTGCATTTTAGAAGCTTAAGGAGGCACTCATGTCTGTACCAGTACTGAGGTTACCAGACTTCCAACAACCCTTCACCATTGAGACAGATGCTTCTGGAGGAGGAATTGGGGCTGTTATATTGCAAAATGGCCGCCCTATTGCTTATATTAGCAAGGCTATGGGACCAAAGTACAAGTTGCTTTCAGCCTATGAGAAGGAACTCTGTGCAGTTTTGTTTGTAGTCAAAAAATGGCAGCACTACTTATGGGGACAACATTTCATCAAGACCGATCAAAAAGCTCTTCAGCATTTATTATTGTAGCCTCCAACCACTCTGATGCAAAATTGAGGATTGGAGAAGCTTATGGGTTTGGATTTTAGCATTGAATACAAAATGGGCAAGGAGAATCTGGTGGCAGATGCATTGTCAAGGCCTGGACACAGTGGCAGTTTAGCTGCCATACTACATTTTTCTTCTCAGATAATGGCTGACGCTATTGGGTCTTAGAAGACAGATCCAAAACTGCAGAAGTTGGTGGATAAAATTCAGCTGACACAACAACCTCATAAGCATTATCAATTTAATGGATCATTGTTGAAAAGGAAGGGTAAAGTGGTTATAGGTGCTCAACCGGATTTAAGAAACAAAATTTTAAGTCATTTTCATGATTCACCCATTGGCGGCCACTCGGGAACTGAACTCACCGCAAGATTAAAGACCAGTTTTATTGGAAGGGCTTACAAAAGGATGTAACCAAATGGATTAAGGAATATGTAACTTGCCAACAATTTAAATCAGTAAATCCGTTACGTGCAGGTCTTCTCCAACCTTTGCCTATACCTGATAGAGCATGGAAGTCAATTGCTATGGACTTTATCACATGTTTGCCTCAGTCTTATGGGATGAGTGTCATATTGGTGGTCATCGATCGACTAACCAAGTATGCTTATTTCATAACCCTTGGACATCCATTCAGTGCAGCAAAGGTAGCAGAGTTATTCATGAACACTATGCGCTGTGCTACAGGATGCATGCCCAAATGGTGGACAAATCATTTGGCAATGGCAGAGTTATGGTATAATACTAAGTTTCACACAGCCACTCAAATGACACCTTTTGAGGCTTTATATGGCCATGTGCCTACAATTCCTAATTTGATAGACAATGGAGAAACTCTAATTGAGGCTGTTGTTGTTTACAATTCTGAACACTAGCAAGTGCACTAATTGAGGCTGTTGTTGTTTACAATTCTGAACACTAGCAAGTGTACT